TCTCATCGGTTGTTTCAAAGCTCAAACCTCCGATAAAGAGCTTCCGCAGCTGCTCCGGCTCTTTGGGAGACTCAGACTTAGACATAATGACGGCAACAGGGGAAATTCCAACGACGCTTACTCCGCGGCGTTTACCGGCAGAAAGGAGTGATCTAAGGAGCGTATCTCTATTTTTAATTTTTATTTACAATATATTTTTATTGATTTCAGACAGCAAGAAAGAGGGAGAGAGAGATAGAAACATCAGTGATGAGAGAGAATCATTAATTGGCTGCCTTGTGCATGCCCCCCAAGCTGGAACCGAGCCTGCAACCCGGTCATGTGCCGTTGACCTGAATCAAACCTGGGACCCTTCAGTTCACAAGCAGATGCTCAGTCCACTAAGCCCAACTGGCTAGGGCTGACCCTTTTTTTAAAAAAATACATTTTTATTAATTTCTGAGAGGAAGCGGGGGGAGAGAGAGAGAAACATTAATGATGAGAAAGTGTCACTGATCAGCTCCCTCGTGCATGCCCCCTACTGGGGACTGAACCCACAAAAAACTGGGCATGTGCCCTTGAATGGAATGGAACCTAGGACCTTTCAGTCCGTAGGCTGACACTCTATCCACTGAGCAAACCGGCTAGGGCTGACACTTGCTTTATTCATTTATTCATTTAGTTAATTAGTTACTTAGTTATTATTAACTCTTGTATTTCACCTTTGGCATCTTCAAATGTGTTTGCTCACCCAGTTTCCTGTCATCCTTTCTATGCAGTTGTCCTTATTTGGTATTCTGTATTACTGTTTGTCTCATGGTACTCTTATTCCCATTTCCTCTGGGATTTTTTTTTTATAGATAGCTTTCTACTTACTCTAGGATGGGGAAAGATTCTCTTTCTCTATTCTGCCATCTTGCTGAAGTCACTCACATAGGTCTTTTCCCTGTGATCCCATTTGTGGTTCGTTCTACGACAGTGCTGACTATACCTCGTTTTAGTTTTTCTTCTAAGATTTCTATCATTTATCTCATGCTACGGTTCAACTTGGATTTAAGAGGCAAAATCTTTTGTGCATCACAGGAGAAACATGACTTTATCAATGACAGGGTAGACCCAGAGGCTGTCTTGCCTTGGTGAAGGGCTGTGGGGGCGGTTTTCATGCCTGGGTTCTGTTAGGTTCAT